ATGCCCCTCCCGGCACGGAAGCAGATTTTTGCAGGGTGCACAGCAAATGCGGGTTTTCAGGGTAAGGATGGCTGGGAAGAAGTTGTTCATTTAAAAAAAAAAAAAAAAAAGTCAGAGTTGAAACAAGGAATAGCAGGATGTCTTTAAACAACAACTGTTGCAAAGACAAGAATTCCTTTCCTTTTACCTCCTAATCCAGGAGGAGAGAAAAAGTAACCGTTGCTCAAAAGGCACTCTCTCAGATGAGTTCGTCTCTGCTCGCTGAGGAGCGTCAGCCTGCTTTTTCAGCTGTAGTGAGCGGTGTATGAAACACGGACTCGGGAGTGTAGACGCTGATGGGCGTGTGTGCATGGAAGGACAGGCATAGAAATAAACAGTCAGGAAAGTAAGCATCGGCACTGAGGCACTGACTCTTCTCCCACACTTCCGTGCTGATATGCCATATTTGTTCAGGCTGTGTGGTATGAAACTACCAGAGGGAATGGCTGCTATTGCAGAAGAGAGGAGGGAGGGAGGGACGGGGGGGGGGGAGACGGGGGGAGGGGAGCAAAAAGGAGGGAGAAACCTTAAATTACTGAGAAGGTGGACAGCAACTAAACTACCTGTTTATGTTACACGTCCTGGTTTGTGGAAAACTGTAAGGCTCGAATTCTGCCTTACTAAGACAATGAGCACGGCCCCGACCACGGATGAAATTCAAGTCGTAGCCCCTGTTCTTCTCTTTCTAAAGTGCAGCCACCTGCAATGATTTCAAATAAAGTATCCTATAACCCACGAATCTAAGAGGATCACTGAAGAAATCCATTCATCCCACGTAATGGTCGCTAAGGACTGTCCCCACCTGTGAACTAGTGAACAGTCAAAAGAAAAGGAAACCACGCATGAGATTTGCATCAAATCCGCACGCTAAGCACCAAGTCTCCTTTAGAACAAACAGCACCGCCGCTCCGCTCCTCACTCTCACCAAGGCCACCTGGGAATCTGGTTATTGCCGGGGTGTCAGTCTGGGGAGGGGTCTCCAACACCCACAGGCCTGGCCTGTCCAACATGTTTGCGTCTTCAGGGGGGAGTACAGTCACAGGGTAGACAATTCCAAGTGGACACAGTCGTCAAGATTCAAACAAGCTTCAGAAGAGCCCCGCTGGGAGGAACTCTGGAAGCACAAGCTGTTCCCACCTGCAGGGCACAGCACAGCTTAGCCAAAGTTGCAGGCTTTAAGGTGTGAGGTGACGCTGGAGCACAAGGGGTCTGGGGTGAGGAGTGTGGCGTCAACAGGGCCCTGGGCTCACAAGTTCTTTGTCACACTTCCCACCAAGAAGCCACATGGCCAGCTAGGAACTGCGGCAGGTCCAGGAGACTTGCTAGATGTCTCCAATGAAGTCACTCCCTGCCTCATTACCGCACTGCAGAAAGTGGCGGCTGCTGTGTGACTCCGTGGGAACACTGCCGAGGTTGACAGACAGCTCTCTGACTTGATGGGCAGCAATCTGCACACCAAGTGCAGAAAAGACGCTTCCTCCCACCACCATCCCTTTCCTCGGGTGAACCTCGCCCGAGCCATGCGGGCTCACCTGGCTCAGGCTGAAGCTCAGCCTGTCCACACACAACGCTCTCCTTTCTGAAGGGAGCCGAGGACGAGGCATACGCCAGCCAGCAGGGGGAAAGCAACTGTAAGTGATAGGAAGACCTGGGCTTGGGGCCAAAGGAAATAATCACTTTATTGTTCATGATGCGCGATATCCAGAAATACACTGAAGTTTACACCAGAAGAAATTGGGGGACACTGCCCCAATCAGCCTCCAGCTGGGACACACAATGCAATCACCCCAAGGAGCACAGGTCTGCCAGCTTACAAGGGGTGCCATAACAATTGTCACTCTGCGTGACCCCAGGCGATGGGGTTGATCTCTGTGAACTTCCTTTTCCTCATCTGTACGTCCACAGACAGGTCCTTTACTATAAAGAGAGAGGAGGAGGAGAAGGAGGAAGAGGAGGAACAGAATGACCAAAAGCACTGGGCCCGGCCCAGAAAACCTTTGAGGAAGACCCCAGCTCTATCTTCTCCCCTAGGCCAGGAAATGATGGTACAGAGTGCACATAATAACCAGTATCCCTCCCTTCCCCAGTGGACCAGCCAAAACAGAAACCAGTCCTTTCTGATCTAAACCCTGTACTTATGGTGCTTAGTGCATACCTGTTGAACTAATGAACTTAGTTCTAACACCTCCATCTCAGAGGCTCTGTGACTGATGGCCTGGGGCAGCACCGGTTACTAGCATTTATGTGGCCCACATAAAGCTGCTCACCAAGTAGCCTATAGCTACAGAGCTGAAAGGCTCACCACAGCTCGAATGAAATAACCTGGTAATTAGGTTTCAACGGCCTCCTTTGCCTACTAAAAATATCTGCTCTGGGAGTCCAAGTACAGTGTTTTCTGCAGCGTTATATCCCCAGAGCTTGGGAAAATCTTGGCAACAAATGTGAACATTTATGAATGAATGAATGAACGAACGAATGCTCTTTGCAAGCTTAAAGGCAGAGATCCTAAATTTAGCATCCTTCCTAATTAAGTTCAAGTTGCTGCACTTAGGTATGACAAAATGTTTAAAAATAAAGGCAGCAGATGTTTGATCTCTAGGTGGCAGAGATTTTTTTCTTTTTTCTTTTTCTTTTTTTTTTAAATCCTCCATTTATTTTTACTCTGTGGAAAATCAACCAAATCCTGGCACCCACGAAGCTTACATGTTATATCTGCCTAAGTCAAGCATAGTAGATGTACAAAGACAACTATGACCGGTTGCTGTTTAAAAGTATTCTGACTACCACTCTCTAGATATATCACTTCTAAAAATCACGTTTATGTTTATGTGGTTTAACAATAGAGGGAGGAGATCGATAGCCAACTGATAAGAATCAGTTCACAAAGACCAATAAGAACATGTGAGGGTCAAACCAATCTTTATGCTAAAAAAATGCTTAGGGTGTGTTCACCAATCCAGAAAAGGCACAGTTGCAGCCTATGGTGAGTTCTAGAGGGAAAAAGTGGGACACAATGACTCAGGACAGATGGTCTGAGTTCAGGATCTGTGTCGCGCACACACACACACAGACACAATGACTCAGGACAGAAGTTCAGATCTCTCTCTCTCTCTCTCTCTCTCTCTCTCTCTCTCTCTCTCTCTCTCTCACACACACACACACACACACACACACACACACACCAGCAGTAATTCCAATGTACAACTTTAAAAGGTCAGGAAGCAGAGCTCACTTCCCAGGGCTCACGTTCACCATGACCTGCCACAGATGTGGGCTGCAGCTAACACCACCCAGCTGGAGGTGAAAGTCTAGGATAAAGGACACAGGCTATTTCTGAATGAACACCACTTTACTCATCTTTAAGGTTTTAATTACCGTAAGAAGACAAAACAAGAAGCTAGAAGGCGGCCACAGAGGACCTAGGACGAGCATAGAGAGAGCACAGTGAGCTCCTCCTGCTGCCATTGTTCTGCCGCGGGAGTCTTGGGGAGCCCCAGGGCACACCTTGCAGCATCGGTCAGCAGCCCTGGCACCAGGGAAGACCACAGCCTCTGCAGCGCAGGCGGTGCACAGGCGCAGGCATGCTGTTTTCTGCAATTACAGCACTCACCCTCAGACGATTCAAAAAAGGGAGGGGGCGTGGGAAGCCCCGGCAAGCTTGACAGGAAGCTAAAAGGACAATGTCATCTAACAAAACCTGCAGGTCTCTATTCAAACGGAACTCTTTAATTCCCCCCCCCAAAAGGTTTCCTTAAATAAATCCTCCCAGACTTAAAGAGAACCTTGTAATCGTGTCCCCAGAACCGCTGAATAAACACAGCATACTCACAGACTCCCAGCGGCTGTAACTTCAGAGGAGAGAACACAGCTCCACTATTAAAGCTGTCTTCCCTCTCTTCTACCAGATCTTTTCAAAAGCCAACTAAAAGAACCATTCCTCAGTATAAAGACCAGCAGAAATTGTCAACTTCTGCTTCGTTCCCCGGCCTCCAGATCCCGGCAAAGAGGTAACCAGGCATCTGACGGCCCCCAGAGCACTGCAGGGTGAATTCAAGACCTGTCAGTTACGGTGGCAGCTACACTCACTGCTGTGGCGGCTGCTTCCGCAGGAAGGGATGCTGGGAGATTTTCTTCCCCCAATCTCTGCTGCAGCCTAGTCCTAATCCATCACTGTTTGATTATCCTAGAGAAGCAGGCACGAGAAGTACAGATAGCCGGGTGTATAAAAACCACAGGAGCATCCAGTAACTTTTCATCTAACCTAGGCATTTCTCTATCAAGGGACAGCATCAATTACTTTCTTATTTTAATTAAAAGTAAGGACAGGCTGCTATTCCCAGGCGTGACTTATATTTTACACCCATGGACTTTCTGAAAACACACTTTAAAAGAACACCGAAGACGGGAAGTCAGTCTGGCGGGTTGTGTCAGTGACAAATCCCCATCATGAGACAGGCAAAGCAAGGCTGCCAGAAAGGCCAGGTTCAAACTGACATTTGATAAACAGTATTTCAAGTGGGCTTGAGTTTGGAGCTGTGTTTTTTGGTTATAGTTTTATCTGTGCTGTGATTGTTGATATGGTTATATAAGACACTGTCGGGTGCGGGGAGTTACCACCAAGTATAAGAAGATGGTATCTCCAGGTTATAAATAGGAACTAGGAAATGAAGAAAAATAAATCCAGACACAATCCCATAGCACAGAGATAATCACTGCCAATATTCTGTAACAATTTACTTGGGATATTTTTCTCTGTCCTATGTCGTATGAATGGAACTTAACAATTAACATTTTTTTCTTCAGTAATATTGATTTCCAAGTTACGTATTATTTTTGAGTTGCATGATTGTTCCTGGGATGATGGAGAACAAATATCCCATGAAGATGGATGCTAAAAAGAAACCCCACACTAGCTCAGAATTGAGTATAATAAAGGGTTATTTATTTAGGGGTAGACTCACAGATCACAGTCCTCTCCAAAAACAGGGAACAGTAACCGAATCCAGCAGCCAGAAGAGAGAGTAAGCGGGCTTTACATCAGCATTTATAGTGTAAGAGGCCATGTCCAAGTGAGCTGGTATCTTAAAGGCTATTGGCTGGAGGAGTTCCTATAGCACCTCCCCTTTTTGTTTAAATAAGAGAAGTCTAAGCCTAATATAAAACAATATACAATAAGAACAAATATCAAGTATAAAAATTAGAATTACAGCCAGCATAAACAATATCAAGCAAGAAACATGTGATAAATGTTTCAATAATTATCTTATCCTAAGGAATCTAAGTCTTGTATTAGAAATAGCTTAGCTAAATCATGAGAGGAAAGTAACTACGATTATCTAGTCTTCAACCCCATCAAACACCTGACAAGGGAAATAAAATTACTTAAGTAAACAGGAAGTATAATCAAGCAACTTCCAAAATATGTAATAAATGACAGAGACAACTGGCTACCTGGCCAATCACCCAAAGTCTCATTTGCAACATTGGAGCAACCAACTTTGGCTAAGGCCTACAGTAACTGATAGACCATTTTCAGAGGCAGGAAAATTTTCAGAACCGTCTTATCCTGTCTTGGCAAGATTTGACAGTCTTTCTCTTGTATCCTGCTTGTCCCGTCCAGACACCTTGCATTTTGTCAGTAGTCAAGGCATGGGCAGTTCCTTGCCCAAAGGCCAATTTTGCCAAGAAGAAAACAAGCTCCAAGTGAATTGTCTTCAGTGCCCAACATTTTCTGAGGAACAGATCAGAGCCGCCAGGAGCAACTGTGTCTCACATCAACAGTACCCCAAGTTATTTAAATACCATATTCTACAGTTCTTTGAAGTGACTGAAGATTACTTATTTATGCAGAATACAATCTCTATGTTTCTAAAGAACCTGATTAGTCTAACTATAAGTATGAAAAAATGGATGATTATTGGTCTATAATTTTAATACATATATAGCATAAAGACTAAGACTTCATATTAAAATATTAAACAGTCTTTAAACAACTGTACAGCAAATGAGGACAATGACCTCAAAATGTAAACAATGTACAAGTATCTTGAGCAGAGGTAGAAATATATAGTACAATATGATAAATTTATGCTAAAATTGCATCAATATATAAAATATCTTAAACAGAGGTAGAAGCATGAATGCATACAATATGAAAAAAATAATTTTGCCTAGTGTACAAATATTATAGACAGAAATAGGAACATATTCAATGTAATTTGAATTTGTATCAATATACAAGAATCTATACCAATGTAAATTGTCTATAAATAATAGCTCATAAGTATTCACTCTATTACTCACTATTATTATTAGTGTAAGCTCACACTAATTCACCTATTATCCCATCCAATTTCCCTCTTTTTTTTCCAAAGAGATCCCTGAGCATACATAATTTTCACCCCAATACCCAACCTTATACCAATTATAATCAACCCCTAATTGATGTTCCTAACCCTGAGGACAAACTTTGTTGGGAGAGGAGATGAAATCTTCCAGAATTACCTCCAGCTGTCATGGGGGTAATGTTCTTTCTATGGGATCCTGTGAAAGTAAAATGGTAGTTAAGTTCCAAGATTACTATCTGGTATAATTGCAAATAGTCTGAGTATTCAATAGGGTTTTTCTGAGGTTCCTATTTGGAGTTCTGGTTGAATTACTTTTTTGACAGCTCTTAGATCTGTCACCATTCTCCATTTTCCAGATTTCTTTTTAACAACAAATACAGGAGTATTCCAAGGGCTGATTGATTCTTCTAGTTGCTCCTGTACCAGCTGTTCTAAAGCCTGCATTGTCTCTTCTGTTAAAGGCCATTGTTTAACCCATATTAGTTTCTCAGTTAACCATTTTAAAGGCAGGACCATTGGTACCTGTAAAGGTTTGCTAGTTGCTTTGTGTTCTTGTACAGCCTGAATGGCTGTTGACCTTTGTGTATAGTGCCTTATAATATCCTTCGCAGAAACATGCATTTCTGGGACTGCAGGAATGTTCATCTGGGTATTCCATTGCTGCAGCAGGTCACAACCCCATAAATTCACTGCATTATTAGCCAAGATGGCCTCAGCCTTCCTCTCTCTCTTTCTGGCCCAATGAAGTCAATCCATCTCGTGCTTTGTTTCACTTGAGATAGGGTTCCAATTCCTAGGAATTGAACATCTGCTTCTTGAAGAGGAAAACTCAGATGCCAAGACTCTGGAGTAATGATACTCATGTCCACACCCATGTCTAGTAATCTCTCAATTACAGTGTTAGTTATACGCACTCTTAGCTTTGGTCTTTGATCATTAACAGAAGTCTGCCAGAATATACATTTCTTCCTTCCTATTGGAATTTTTGATTCATCCTCCATGTTCATTCCATCATATAGAACACTATTTTTTTTTACATCAGGCAATGGATTTTTAAATTTCCCTTGTGAGACAAGTCCTCCATAGTAACTGGGAATAACTGGACCATGTTTGACTCAGGAGCCTGCGAGAGCCCCCCCCACTGCAAGGAGTTTCCCAATGGTATCACGTTGCCTTCTCTGTCTTTTGTTGGTCTGCATTCATTGGTCCAATGTCAACCTTTGCCACACCTCCTACATAATCCAGAAAGTTGATACCTTTTATTTTTGTCATTCCCAAAGGAGACATTATTTCTAGAAATTCCTTGTCTACAGTGCCTTCTCAAATGTCCTACTCTACCACAATTAAAACATTTGGTATTTTGATGTCTCCTCATGCCTTTGGAAATTTTCTCCTACCCAGGCCTCAGTATTAAAGTCAAATGTCTCAAATGTCTCAATGTTATACTTAAGCAAAGAGCAAAATATATCTGTTAGTATTTAACCAGGCACAAATGTGCAGAACCAAAGTGGTGTGGAACGTTTTCTGCTGCCTCTGCTTGCATCTCGCTGCCACGCGACTGCAACCACAGCACCTGCTGACCAATAAAAATTATTAAACCTACAGCAGTTTACCAAAATCTCATAACAAAGATAACTATTTGATTAATAAATAAATCAATAAACTTGAAAGTTATATAATTGCAGACAATATTACCACCTAGGAATTTAGTAACATTTTTGCTTATACTATGGATGGTATTCTGCAAGGTTTATATGGGTTTTCTGATACATCCATTTATTTGATATTGGGACTTAGTTTTGTTTTTCATATTACATCCTTAAGAAAATGGTTTGATAAGAGAGCCAAGAATGAGGCACTTTTAGAAATGATAGTCTTTAAAGACTAATAATGAACAGGTAGCTGACAGGATTAATATCATCGAAAATAAAGGACAACATTGATACTACTGAAAAGGATAACATTAATTTGACAGAAAATATTCAATCCATGTCAAAGGGTACTGAGAAATTATCTGAAAGAATTCATACTGTTGAACTGGACAACCAAAATCTGTTTAAAAGTTATGATAGGTTAGCAGATAGAGTATCTATCCAGGAAGGCAATCTACATGCTATCCAAATAATGATCAAGGATGAGATGTTATCTTTAAAGGAAAAAACTTCAGAGCTTGGAATCACAGGTGCAGAATGAGGACCAGAGGCTGGGTGCCTCCATGAAATCACTAGAAATATATGCAGGCCAAGAGATTCAGGATTTACAAAAGACAGTAGTAAAAAGATTTAAAAATGATTGAGGAAAATATAGGCACTGGTGAGCAGGGAAAGAAGGTACAAGGACAGGATTTAACATTGTCAGTACCTGTCAGAGTCAGAAATGACCTACCCAGGGTTTTAGATTCATGTGGGTGAAAACTCATGAGAGACTGTGCCTAGCGCTTCCTGACCAACCTGTAGGCACCTCTTTTAAAGACAGTCTCCTCTTCCTCCAGGAACTGCTCTCTGCTTATACAACTGTAGGGAAGAACTTAGGCAATGACCTGTGCTCACAATCAGCTTTCTGTATCTTATCAGCTTCCTCTCTCCCTAGATACACAACTTCTCTTCATAAAAGTACGATTACTGTCCATATATGTGATCTATCATTTCTTTTTTTTAACATTTATTTACTGTTTGTTGCAGGGGAGGAACGTGGATGCCACAGAACAACCTACAAGAGTTAGTTCTCTCCTTATACGATGTGTGTCCAGGGAGTGAACTCAGGGTTGTCAGGCTTGACAGCGAGCACCTTTATCCACTGATTCATCTTGCTGGCCCAACCATCCAGATTTCTAATAGTGCTCAAAGCTTTAGTGCATATAATGCCAATTAATATACTTGTACACTTTATATTGCTATAGGTGTGGTAAGCAAACACAATTGCTGTTCTCCTGGAGTTCCATGCAACATAAAAGCTAGCTACTCAGCAGATGTAGTCAATACTGTGCTACCCAAAAGAACTACAAACACCTAAGAACACATAAGAGACCTGCTCTTGTGAAGGTTACACTGCAGGATGGGGGAGAAGTAGCAATCCAACTGCAAAACCCTAAGTACACTGTAATTCACATCTTCACTGTTCATCATAATTAACTCAACTTTTATCTTTCTCCTATATGAAAACTTAAATGTAGATTTCAACCATACTTTGTGAATGTAATGTATATGAGAATAATTGATATCATGTGTATAGATTGTTTTATACATTTAATCATTAGAATATAATAATTAAGAAATGACAAAAGGTAGGCTGTATACATAACTCCAGGAATCTTTTAAGTGGAAAGAGACTACAGTTTTCTAAGTATTCCCAACCTAACTGACATGCTCAAAAACTGAGGAAGGCTAAAGATTCCCTAAGAAAAAGTTTTAAGGGTTCTATGTATGTGTGCATGCATGTGCACGTGTGTGTGAGAGAGAGAAAGAATGAATGAAAGAGAGAGAAAGAGAGACTAGACATCAGACCTAGAGCTATGAACATGCTAAATATAAGCTCCCTACCACTGAAACACAACCCCAGCCTTTTGGCCTTAGGCCTTCTTTTAAAAAATCTTATAAGTGTTTTCTCATAATGATCACTAGTGTCATCATTTTTTCCCATTGGTGCCCTTCTTAAAACATACTTCTCTACCCAATGAATACAGAAATGTTTGCTTCTGTTTGCTCTTAATGTTTAAACAATAACTTCCTAGTATGTTTTCTTTAGTATTCCAAGCTATCCATCCCACATGTGTGTTTGTACCTCTCCCCCAAAAGTGCTGACACTGAGGAGGTTATCAAAAGGATGTG